GACCTCACTAAGTAAGTACCAGACTAATTGTATAGCACTAGCGTTACCTCCCTTAGTAAGTACCAGAGTAATTGTATAGCACTAGCGTTACCTCCCTTAGTAAGTACCAGAGTAATTGTATAGCACTAGCGTTACCTCCCTTAGTAAGTACCAGACTGATTGTTTAGCACTAGCGTTACCTTCCTTAGTAAGTACCAGACTAATTTTAAAGCACTAGCGTCACCTCTCTTAATAAGTACCAGACTAATACTTTAGCACTAGCGTTACCTCCCTTAGTAAGTACCAGACTGATTGTTTAGCACTAGCGTTACCTTCCTTAGTAAGTACCAGACTAATTTTAAAGCACTAGCGTCACCTCTCTTAATAAGTACCAGACTAATACTTTAGCACTAGCGTTACCTCCCTTAGTAAGTACCAGACTAATAGTTTAGCACTAGCGTGACCTTCTAAGTAAGCACCAGACTAATTGTATAGCACTAGCATTACCTCCCTTAGTAAGTACCAGACTAATTGTTCAGCACTAGCGTTACCTTCCTTAGTAAGTACCAGACTAATTGTAAAGCACTAGCGTCACATCTCTTAATAAGTACCAGACTAATACTTTAGCACTAGCGTTACCTCCCTTAGTAAGTACCAGAGTAATTGTATAGCACTAGCGTTACCTCCCTTAGTAAGTACCAGACTAAGTGTATAGCACTAGCGTTACCTCCCTTAGTAAGTACCAGAGTAATTGTATAGCACTAGCGTTACCTCCCTTAGTAAGTACCAGAGTAATTGTATAGCACTAGCGTTACCTCCCTTAGTAAGTACCAGAGTAATTGTATAGCACTAGCGTTACCTCCCTTAGTAAGTACCAGACTAATTGCTTAGCACTAGCGTGACCTCACTAAGTAAGTACCAGACTAATAGTTTAGCACTGGTGTTACCTCCCTTAGTAAGTACCAGACTAATTGTTTAGCACTAGCGTTACCTTCCTTAGAAAGTACCAGACTAATTGTAAAGCACTAGCGTCATCTCCCTTAATAAGTACCAGACTAATAGTTTAGCACTAGCGTTCCCTCCCTTAGTAAGTACCAGACTAATAGTTTAGCACTAGCGTGACCTTCTAAGTAAGCACCAGACTAATTGTATAGCACTAGCGTTACCTCCCTTAGTAAGTACCAGACTGATTGTTTAGCACTAGCGTTACCTTCCTTAGTAAGTACCAGACTAATTGTAAAGCACTAGCGTCACCTCTCTTAATAAGTACCAGACTAATACTTTAGCACTAGCGTTACCTCCCTTAGTAAGTACCAGACTAATTGTTTAGCACTAGCGTTACCTTCCTTAGTAAGTACCAGACTAATTGTAAAGCACTAGCGTCATCTCCCTTAATAAGTACCAGACTAATAGTTTAGCACTAGCGTTACCTCCCTTAGTAAGTACCAGACTAATTGTTTAGCACTAGCGTTACCTTCCTAAGTAAGTACCAGACTAACTGTTTAGCACTAGCGTTACCTTCCTTGGTACATGTTAGTACCAGACTAGTTATATGACACTAGTGTTAGTACAAGAATTGTATAGCACTAGTCTTACCACTCTTAGTAAGTACCATAATAATTCTATAGCACTAGTATCTTCAATAAGATTCATCAGTTTGGAAATCTGTGATATCAAAGTTTTACTTTCTACACAAACAATGTACGTATTAAACGTGTTGCAACGTTTCAAGACAGTCTGGTCCCTTTGTCAAGCTATGACTGATTGAGGGATTTGTATTTTTTTACCTGCACAACAATCTGACAAAATGTTATATTTCTTATGTCATTCGACCAAGGAGATTTCGCCTATCAATAGGGAGCATATGCACACTGCATCAGATAGGTTACAGGAAGGGTGTACATCTAGCCCCCTCCCCTGTTATGTCAGTATCGGGTCATACAGATGACTCAGCTGGTGTCCCCCCTCATCTCTGTTCATGTTCAGAGTTTTCCTGATTTTGATTGCTTCTTTGATTTGCCTCATCTTTGTGTGTTGCTCCCTTTCAACTATCTTGGCATTGTCCTAATCGATGATGTGATTTTGGGTGATAGCGTGATCTGTTAATGCCGATTTATTGTACTGGGTGGCGGATGTTTTGCGTGTGGATCTGGTAAATGTGATGTTGCTCATTTTCTCTATGTCCTTTTGCTGTTCCTTCACTCAAAACAAATTCCATTAAATTTATTCACGAGAAGGAAATGGATAGAGCTCATCGTCTGCAAAGAAAACGACACCATCAATTCTATAGACAGTCTTACCTCCTTTGAACACAAGTTACACTTGACAAAAACACAATTATGATGATTTATTTTACCAAAATTTTGATGAGACATGTATACACTTTCTCACTCTCTGCTGTTTTGTTGGCCTCACATGTTATAACTCGGTCCTCACACTTGGTATCAATGATTATAAAACACAGTATGACTGATGTAGGAGGATGTGTCCATGTCATTGATAAAAAAAACATTGTTAATATTGCTAACAGAGTGCAGGTTGAGGTAATAATCATGGCATTTGAGTCAAATATTTGTACAGATGCCATTTAATTTTTAAGACATGGATGACCAAGACCACTGATCACCATGACAACAAGGACTAAGATTATGGATCATCATGGTAACAAGTTCTCACAAATCAAATAACTTAGTTATGTATGATACCTTATTTACACATAAATTGTATGTATGCTCCCTTATATACACATTTACAGAACACATGTACAGCCATATGAATTGCCCAATTGATTTATTAAACTGTAAACAATATTTGTTTATAAACATGATTGATAATTACAGGTAGTTTGGAGAGGTTTCATACAAAAATATATTTCAATTCATACCACATTAATGTATTTTTTTTGTAAATTCACAATTTTAACAAGATTACACATAATTTAAACTGCCTGGGTCCTATATTCTGTTCCTTATAGCGAGTATAATTCCCACTACCACACAACCATCATACTCCTGCAACAGTGTGTGTATTATCCTGATACTTAATAGTCCTCCAAGTTTGAGGGCTCAAATTTCTGCCATTGAAACTTGAAGTAGCCCTATTGTCAAAATCTTCTCATCTTTGCATTTTCAGCTCTCAAACATCTCAAAGTACATGTAGCTAGTTAACCTGTCTACAAAAGTTATGGAGATAGTAGGTTGGACCTTATCAGTGCTTGTTTAAAATAAGCCAAATAACTATTTCGTCATTACGCAGATTAGGTAGAAAAGAACAGAAACACCAAATTATTTTTGGTCTAACTCTCCATAAGAAGGCAATTAATTTCTGGGGTTTACATGGTGTATTTTTTCTAAGACAGGGACTATGGGTACAGTAAAATGAAAGTGTTATACTAAATAGTTGTCCTGTGGTGGTCCCGATGGACATAGAATACCCAACCTATACGTACATACACTCAGAAATGATCCCCCTACACCTTAGGGATAGTCCTATCTATACATTAGAGATGCACTGCAGTGATTCTACCAGGATCAAATATCTATGCAGTATATATGCCATGTTAAATATCTCATTGACCATCTACAGATCTACAGATATGTTGCTAAGAACTTGAGACGTATGATAATTTATAATTGTCAGCATTTTTCTTACTGTAACTTGTGACCTTACTGGATGATATGGATATAGGTCGTTTGGGATGAGTTTTGAAATTTTATCGACACCTGTGTATTATATAAACATCCAGATATCGTCAAATGTTTACGGACTGGAACTCCTAGTTAACTCCTCTGTTCAAATTTGTTTTTATAAAAGGTTTAACTTATCCCATACGTAAAGATAGTAATAATCAATGCCCAGTTCCTTCACAGTATAGCAAGTATTACATACCTGGTACAGATAACAACTGTCAAAACCTGGAACAGGAAGTGCATGGAGTTATAGGACCTGTTGAAATCATATCTCACTCACTCAAAACAGTGTACTTACATATTTTACCTATAAGATGTTCATGTGTAACAAGAGTTATATTGTATTTTACTATTTGATCAAATGTAAACACCATTCAAAGTTTCAAACAACTGGATTTTACTTCAGAAAACAGCAATAGAAGATTTTTTATGGTAAGTATTCAATCTCCATCAGGTGTTTTTTTATTCAAAAAGCTAGCTGAGCTCTCTGTTATTTCTTTTTAGAGACATATGGAAACTTTTAAGGCCATGGACACATGTATGTTTTTTGTTAAAATTGAGAACTTTTGTAAGTAACTTAAATTTTTGGTCCAGTACAGACTAAAAGAAGACAGAGTACATTTGATCAATCCAGCTATATATATATATGGTACATGTATATTCATATAATGAAATACACTGGCAAGTTACAAGTACAGTATTGCTGCTTGAAGTTCTGTCATTACATTAGGTTTAAGCAAAATACTGAATGGAAGTCAACAATTCAGATGGTCCACATCTAGATAAAATGTCACAACATTTCCATCTCGACTAGTAGGTGTTCTGATTCTGACATGGTATAATCCTGAGGGTATTCACTGACAGATTATTGAAATCAGTCAAAACGGGTGTAAAGGCATAAAAAAAACTTACCTGTGAAAGTGTAAATTTCCGCGTGTAGAAATGATTGCATTGTAACTCTTTAAACTGGCCGACTTCGCGTGTAGAAATGTTTGCATTGCAACTCTTTAAACTTCGCGTGTAGAAATGTTTGCATTGCAACTCTTTAAACTTCGCGCGTAGAAATGTTTGCATTGTAACTCTTTAAACTGGCCGACTTCGCGTGTAGAAATGTTTGAATTGTAACTCTTTAAACTTCGCGCGTAGAAATGTTTGTATTGCAACTCTTTAAACTTCGCGCGTAGAAATGTTTGCATTGCAACTCTTTAAACTTCGCGTGTAGAAATGTTTGCATTGTAACTCTTTAAGCTTTGCATGTAGAAATGTTTGCATTGTAACTCTTTAAACTGGCCGACTTCGCGTGTAGAAATGTTTGAATTGTAACTCTTTAAACTTCGCGCGTAGAAATGTCTGCATTGCAACTCTTTAAACTTCGCGCGTAGAAATGTTTGCATTGCAACTCTTTAAACTTCGCGCGTAGAAATGTTTGCATTGCAACTCTTTAAACTTCGCGCGTAGAAATGTTTGCATTGTAACTCTTTAAACTGGCCGACTTCGCGTGTAGAAATGTTTGCATTGTAACTCTTTAAGCTTTGCATGTAGAAATGTTTGCATTGTAACTCTTTAAATTTTGCGTGTAGAAATGTTTGCATTGTAACTCTTTAAGCTTTGCATGTAGAAATGTTTGCATTGTAACTCTTTAAACTTCATGTGTAGAAATGTTTGCATTGTAACTCTTTAAACTTCGCGTGCAGAAATGTTTGCATTGTAACTCTTTAAACTTTGCATGTAGAAATGTTTGCATTGTAACTCTTTAAACTTTGCGTGTAGAAATGTTTGCATTGTAACTCTTTGCGTGTAGAAATTTTTGCATTGTAACTCTTTAAACTTCGCGCGTAGAAATGTTTGCATTGTAACTCTTTAAACTTCGCGTGTAGAAATGTTTGCATTGCAACTTTTAAACTGTTTGACTCTGAATGGTCAGTAATTGATATCCTCTCATGTGTATTGCGTGTGGATATCTTTATGTTAATTTACTCAATGTAAGAAGCATGAGCATTTCCACATCCTGAAAACTTTCCATTTTTACAGTAGCTGAGAACAGATATAGTGAGGTTTGATACCAGATTACTCATAAACGTGGTGGACAACTTGTAATATCAGATGGGAAATTTATCTGTATGTTTATATTATAAGGGACCAAATTAAAAATATTTGGTCTTTCGTAGTCTTTAATCTCATTTTCTTGAGCTAATTCACCAAAAATTATGACCACAAAACATTTCTGCTATAAATACAGTAGTTTTAGATGTCACCATGACATCAATCAGAATCTGATAAAACGATGATAACATCTTCATCAATGGATGAAGCCACCTGCTGGACAGTGTCCCGGGGTAAAGAGCTGGAAAGTGTGTCCATGTTATCCTCATCGGCCAGGTCAATGACCATCTTGCCCTTATTCAGTGGTTTGAGAGACATATTTTTACGCGAGTTCCTGAACATGATGGATCGCTGTACGGGGTACGGACTAGGAGGGTTTGACGAATCAAAATCCTCCGAAAAACCATCATTGTTGTCATCATCTGACTGATTGGATGGTTCGTCTTTTACATGTGCAGTATTTTTGTCTACGCCATTTTCAATAGGCCAGTTGAGATGTCGCCTGGCTCTTTGCTTGTGACTGATTGCAGGAGCGACCGAGTTCCCCTCTCTGTCCTCCCCAGTACAACTGTCACCGGCTATTGATTGTACGTTGGATATTTTGAGTGTACATTGATTGGAATCGGACAATGAAAAGTGACTTGTTCCAGAGTTGGACAGATTGGAAAAGATTTGCACCTTAGGCAACACAGGCATACAATCCATATAGTCATCTATACTAACGAGAGTCCCTGATTTCTTGTTTGTGGATGAAGGTAGATGAATACTGGTGTCACTGCCAGTAGGAGAGCCTGGAGGGGAGTTCACCACGTACGGTGATACTGGTCTGGGTGAGCCGTCTGAACACAGGGAGCTGGAGGATGAAGGCAGCTTTGGTGAGATAGATGGGCTTTCCTTTCTGGACACTTGTGGAGAGCAAGGGGATGAAAGTGGGGATGCTGCCATCTTGTCTTTACATAAGCGTTTCTGGACTGAGGCTGACATATGTGGAGAAGACACCTCCCTGGTAGTTTTTGATGAAGGTGAGAAAAGTCCATCATCCGATAGGAACGACACTGATGAAGAGCTGCCATCTGCTGCTGTTTTGATTGGTGATGTTGAAACCTCATCCTCCTCCTCATCCTCAGCATCATCATTGAGAACTGAAATGTTAAATGTGACATGATTAGGGAATTTCCATTTGCCAATCTGAAGTGCCCTGTTTACAAACACATAGATAGCACTGTGACCTTAGCCTTGTTGCTATAATCTTGAGCTTTTGACATACAATGTACCAGGAATGCATTTCATAACTTGGGTCCGAGTTTAGTGATGTCATGAGAAGAACACATCAACATATTAACAATTATAACTAAAACTGCATAATTCTCTATTTATGATATTCCTGTTAGTAGAAATATTACAAGAATTTATGAAACTAAGAAAAAAAAGTGAAGTTTTAAGCCAAAAAACTGAAATGATGTAAACATTTGAGCACCAACGACACTGAAAATACTCCAGAGCTACCACTGACGACACTGGAAACACTCCAGAGCTATAGCTACCACTGACGACACTGGAAATACTCCAGAGCTATAGCTAGTACTGACAACACCAGAAATACTCCAGAGCTAGTACTGACGACATTGGAAACACTCCAGAGCTAGTACTGACGACACCGGAAATACTCCAGAGCTAGTACTGACAACACCAGAAATACTCCAGAGCTAGTATTGACGACACTGGAAACACTCCAGAGCTAGTACTGACGACACCGGAAATACTCTAGAGCTAGTATTGACGACACTGGAAATACACCAGAGCTAGTACTGACAACATTAGAAAAACTCCAGAGCTAGTACTGACGACACTGGAAATACTCCAGAGCTAGTATTGACGACACTGGAAATACTCCAGAGCTACTACTGATAACACCAGAAATACTCCAGAGCTAGTACTGATGACACTAGAAAACCTCCAGAGCTAGTACTGACAACACCAGAAATACTCCAGAGCTAGTACTGACGACATTGGAAATACTCCAGAGCTAGTACCGGCGACACCGGAAATACTCCAGAGCTAGTACTCAGCTGACGACACAGGAAATACTCCAGAGCTAGTATTGACGACACTGGAAATACTCCAGAGCTACTACTGATAACACCAGAAATACTCCAGAGCTAGTACTGATGACACTAGAAAACCTCCAGAGCTAGTACTGACAACACCAGAAATACTCCAGAGCTAGTACTGATGACACCAGAAATACTCCAGAGCTAGTAACGACACTGAAAATACTCCAGAGCTAGTACTGACGACATTGGGAATACTTCAGAGCTAGTACTGACGACCCCAGAAACACTCCAGAGCTAGTACTGACAACCCCAGAAATACTCCAGAGCTAGTACTGACGACACTGGAAACCCTCCAGAGCTAGTACTGACGACACCAGAAATACTCCAGAGCTAGTACTGATGACACCAGAAACACTCCAGAGCTAGTACTGACGACACTGGAAACACTCCAGAGCTAGTACTGACGACACCAGAAATACTCCAGAGCTAGTACTGATGACACCAGAAACACTCCAGAGCTAGTCCTGACGACACTGGAAACACTCCAGAGCTAGTACTGACGACACCGGAAATACTCCAGAGCTAGTACTGACAACCCCAGAAAAACTCCAGAGCTAGTACTGACGACCCCAGAAACACTCCAGAGCTAGTACTGACAACCCCAGAAACACTCCAGAGCTAGTACTGACGACACCGGAAATACTCCAGAGCTAGTACTGACGACACCGGAAATACTCTAGAGCTAGTAACGACGACACTGGAAACACTCCAGAGCTAGTACTGACGACACCAGAAGTACTCCAGAGCTAGTACTGACAACCCCAGAAATACTCCAGAGCTAGTACTGACGACACTGGAAATACTCCAGAGCTAGTACTGACGACATTGGAAATACTCCAGAGCTATTAATGACGACACTGGAAACGCTCAAGAGCTAGTACTGACGACCCAGGAAACACTCTAGAGCTAGTGCTGACAACCCCAGAAACACTCCAGAGCTAGTACTGACGACACCGGAAATACTTCAGAGCTAGTACGGACGACACCGGAAATACTCTAGAGCTAGTAACGACGACACTGGAAACACTCCAGAGGTACTACTGATAACACCAGAAATACTCCAGAGCTACTCCAGAGCTAGTACTGACGACACCAGAAGTACTAGTACTCCAGAGCTAGTACTGACGACACCAGAAATACTCCAGAGCTAGTACTGATAACACCAGAAATACTCCAGAGCAACTCCAGAGCTAGTACTGACGACACCTGGATTACTAAGCTCTAATAAATATTCATAGGACAGTGAAAGGCAAATCACAAGCTTGATAGACAACATTTGGCTAACTGAAGACAAAAAAGGTAAGCACGCACACATGCAAACTATTTAGTAACTGCTGCCCCTAAACACAGATCCTCAAACAAATAATCGTAACCATATTCTGAACACAGGAGTCCCTCAAAAATCTCTCGTCTACATAAACATAATCTGCATTAACAACCCCCACCCTACACAGGAGTCTCTCAAAAATCTGCACCCACCCCTCCTTCAAACACAGAAGTCCCCTTATAAAGGTCCCTTCTATATACATGTACATTCCTATCGACATATCACATAAGTTTCCTGATCTCTCCTGTAAATATGACCCCTACAACAAAAGCACTCCCTGAACAATATCTACTATACATATACCACTCCTACTATAACACAGGCGTCACCTGAATGGTCCTCTCTTAAATCTATACTTATAACCCAGGAGTCGCCTGAATGGTCCTCTCTTAAATCTATACTTATAACCCAGGAGTCGCCTGAATGGTCCTCTCTTAAATCTATACTTATAACCCAGGAGTCGCCTGAATGGTCCTCTCTTAAATCTATACTTATAACCCAGGAGTCGCCTGAATGGTCCTCTCTTAAATCTATACTTATAACCCAGGAGTCGCCTGAATGGTCCTCTCTTAAATCTATACTTATAACCCAGGAGTCGCCTGAATGGTCCTCTCTTAAATCTATACTTATAACCCAGGAGTCGCCTGAATGGTCCTCTCTTAAATCTATACTTATAACCCAGGAGTCGCCTGAATGGTCCTCTCTTAAATCTATACTTATAACCCAGGAGTCGCCTGAATGGTCCTCTCTTAAATCTATACTTATAACCCAGGAGTCGCCTGAATGGTCCTCTCTTAAATCTATACTTATAACCCAGGAGTCGCCTGAATGGTCCTCTCTTAAATCTATACTTATAACCCAGGAGTCGCCAACACAATCCTCTCATGATAGCCTCTACATATTCACAGTTCCCATACAACAAGAATCACCAAGACAGACCTAGATGGTCTTATTTTTACAGATTTCCCCACAACAACACAGTCCTGTAGAAGCCCCTCCATTCACCCTATATTCCCCTCCATAACACACCACTCCTCTCAATCGTACTTCATTTACATACGTCCCCACAGGACACACCAGTTCGGGATCCCCAGACAGTAAATCACATACATAGATCTGCAAACAACAATCTGTCTCCAGGGCATATCCTAGTTCCCCAAACAACACACCTGTGTACCTCAGACAGTACTTCCTCTAATTGCCCAGGCACAACATCTGTCTCCAGGGCTAGACAACTTACATCTGTAATCTGGTGCCAGCTTTATCAGGTTGTAGGGGGTGGTCTGTGGCTACAACAACAGGCCCATGGTGCTTCTTTTGCTCACCTGCTTTTTCGTATTTGACCTCTGGCAAGAGAAATCATAATATGGAAAAGCTGAGGAGCAGATGCTGCACCATGACAGAGACTCATTGGTAGCACCAACAACTAAAATGGGCACCAACTTAATGTCAACATTTAAAGCAAATATGGACACCACTTTACAGACTACAGTGCCAATATATACAGCCATAGGATATAACAGTGGCAACAATTACAGCAAACATGGACACAACAGGAGCAAAATTTACAGCAAACATGGAAAGCAAACATGGACACAAACTAGAGACCTACTAATATCATCTACTGTATACCAGGAAACTCTCGCCCAGTAAAATATCCACCTTTCACTGGTAAAATCATTTTTTGCTTTCACATTTAATACATATATAGAGTCAAGTGTGTACTAATATTTGTTGTCATGATAAATTCACCCTTATTGCAGAGGGCAAAAAAACTTAAGTGAACTTTTCTTGGTATACAGTATTACTGGTTATAGCAAAACAAATAGAAGCTAGCACAGACAATATTGACATTTTTGAGCCATTCAAAGCATCTACATTTTTGTACTCATAAAAAAATCAGATCATGCTTGGATGCAAATTATTAAAGGTTGTTGGTCCTTTTCTGGTTATAAATTTGACCATTGGTAGTATTAAATATATGTGAACAAGAGGCCCAAAGGACCTGTTTCACCTGTGATGATAGGTTTTGTCAAGGCTTTGAACTATCTACAGTAAAACTCATTCTAAATTTTGCATAGCTGTAATATATATTGATAGACATGACCAATATTAGAATGAAAACTAATAATCAAATATGTATTATTCACTCAGATCCAAAGGAGGTCATCAATATCTTGCACTTTGAATTCACCAATAAAAGTAAAAGGACAGCCATGGGTTTTTAGAAGACTTTTTGTCTTATTTATTAATATAGCCCTGGAGGAACTTTGTCAAAAATTTCAAGTAAAAAAATGAGCTGGAAATAATCAAAATTTCAAATAAGCACATGAAATTTTGTCAAGGAAATCGCAGGACAATTTTTACTAAGTAGAAGTCAAAATACTTTAGTCAATCAATCAGACACATCAGTAGCCATCTACGATTTTGAATGGACCTGAAAAAAATATCAACCAATCACGACTCTAGAGTACAGTAACCAATCACAACACTACAGTACAGCAACCAATCACAACACTAGAGTACAGTAACCAATCACAACACTAAAGTACAGTAACCAATCACAAAACTACAGTACAGCAACCAATCACCACACTAGAGTACAGTAACCAATCACAACGCTAAAGTACAGTAACCAATCACAATACTGAAGTACAGTAACCAATCACAACACTAAAGTACAGTAACCAATCACAACACTAAAGTACAGTAACTAATTACAACAATAGTGTACAGTAACCAATCACAACACTAAAGTACAGTAACCAATCACAACACTGAAGTACAGTAACCAATCACAACACTACAGTACAGCAACCAATCACAACACTACAGTACACCAACCAATCACAACACTACAGTACAGTAACCAATCACAACACTAAAGTACAGCAACCAATCACAACACTAAAGTACAGTAACCAATCACAACACTACAGTACAGCAACCAATCACAACACTGAAGTACAGTAAACAATTACAACACTAAAGTACAGTAACCAATCGCAACACTAAAGTACGGTAACCAATCACAACACTACAGTACAGCAACCAATCACAACACTGAAGTACAGTAACTAATCACAACACTAAAGTACAGTAACCAATCGCAACACTAAAGTATGGGAACCAATCACAACACTAAAGTACAGTAACCAATTACAACACTAAAGTACAGTAACCAATCACAACACTACAGTACAGTAACCAACCACAACACTACAGTACAGTAACCAATCACAACACTACAGTACAGTAACCAATCACAACACTTAACTACAGCAACCAATCACAACACTAAAGTACAGTAACAAATCACAACACTACAGTACAGTAAACAATCACAACACTTAACTACAGCAACCAATGACAACACTAAAGTACAGCAACCTATCCCAACACTAATGTACAGAGACTAATCACAACACTAAAGTACAGTAACCAATCACAACACTGAAGTACAGTTACCAATCACAACACTTAAGTACAGTAACCAATCACAATACTACAGTACAGTAACCAATCACAACACTTAACTACAGCAACCAATCACAACTCTAAAGTACAGCAACCTATCACAACACTAATGTACAGAGACTAATCACAACCCTAAAGTACAGTAACCAATCACAACACTAAAGTACAGTTACCAATCACAACACTAAAGTACAGTAACCAATCGCAACACTAAAGTATGGTAACCAATCACAACACTAAAGTACAGTAACCAATCATAACACTAAAGTACAGCAACATATCACAACACTAATGTACAGAGACTAATCACAACACTACAGTACAGTAACCAATCATAACACTAAAGTACAGCAACCTATCACAACACTTATGTACAGAGACTAATCACAACACTAAAGTACAGTAACCAATCACAACACTACAGTACAGCAACCAATCGCAACACTTAACTACAGCAACCAATCACAACACCCAAGTACAGCAACCTATCACAACACTAATGTACAGAGACTAATCACAACACTACAGTACAGTAACCAAACACAACACTAAAGTACAGTAACCAATCACAACACTACAGTACAGTAGCCAACCACAACACTACAGTACAGTAACAAACCACAACACTACAGTACAGTAACAAATCAGTACAGTAACCAATCACAACACTAAAGTACACCAACCTATCACAACACTAATGTACAGAGACTAATCACAACACTACAGTACAGTAACCAAACACAACACTAAAGTACAGTAACCAATCACACCACTAAAGTACAGTAACCAATCACAACACTAAAGTACAGTACCAATCACAACACTACAGTACAGTAACAAACCACAACACTACAGTACAGTAACAAATCAGTACAGTAACCAATCACAACACTAAAGTACACCAACCTATCACAACACTAATGTACAGAGACTAATCACAACACTACAGTACAGTAACCAAACACAACACTAAAGTACAGTAACCAATCACAACACTACAGTACAGTAACAAACCACAACACTACAGTACAGTAACAAATCAGTACAGTAACCAATCACAACACTAAAGTACAGTAACCAATCACAACACTACAGTACAGTAACCAATCACAACACTAAAGTACAGTTACCAATCACAACACTTAAGTACAGTAACCAATCACAACACTACAGTACAGTAACCAATCGCAACACTTAACTACAGCAACCAATCACAACACTAAAGTACAGCAACCTATCACAACACTAATGTACAGAGACTAATCACAACACTACAGTACAGTAACCAATCACAACACTAAAGTACAGTAACCAATCACAACACTAATGTACAGAGANCAGTACAGCAAACAATCACAACACTAATGTTCAGTAACCAATCACAACACTAAAGTACAGCAACTAATTGCGTAGCTGAATTGAGTCATTTCAGTACATATATAACAACTATCGTACATACAAATGTACGTTTCCAGCATCAATCGACATCGATTTTATGGACAACTCATAAACATTTTACACCTTTGTGTGCATACGTTTCATTGGTCATTTGTCTGTTGAAGGTGACAGTGTACATATCATACTAGCCATCGAAACGTCGCATATAAAATTGTATTGGTTGTGTAAAAAGCACTTCTCATTGTAATACTGATCAAGTTGGTTGGGTTAATGGAATTTGTACTTAGACTAGTATACTTAGAAACTACATGTTGTACTCTGACTCAATAGTGGAATGTTTAATTAGTTTCTAGCCCTATAATGTTCCTGTAACAGTTTTAGGAAAGTCTTTTAGTGTACCTGTTTAGGACAGACAGTCAGATAGACAAGGACATTCTCAAACTTTCTCAATAGCAATAATGATTAATGACAATGGCCTTTTATCTTCTGACCTCAAGAACAATCACATATATTCTCTATGCAGAAAGTTGAGTACTGCGTAACTTAGGACATGCAAATTGATCTCAACTGATAGAAGTCCCCCAGTTGATCTGATGTACACCGCCAGACATATACAATCTAACCTGTGTATGTAACTGTAAGGCTATCAGAGACAAGCACACTTAAAACATGTCTGAGTTAACACTGACCTTCAGTAGCAACATATCCACCCCTAACAGTCCTAACACAATCCCAGTAAGTACAATTTATCACTGTGTATGTGGACAACTACTGGAAAAACAGATATCACAAACCCCATACGATATCATTCTATTACAACTCAAGTTGTATATTGCATATAAAGTACACTTTAATTTTCTTAACAAGAATACTCATGGAATGTAAGGCATTTATAGAAGTTGAACTCCCTATAACTATTTCTATTATTCACCTGTTCATAGTTTGTTTTGTCAAAATCTGTTCTTATTTAATAGAGCATGGACAAAAACAGCTAACCAGGATAGCCTCATTCAATAATAAAATTAACGATAACTACAGGAAACCTATGAATTAGTCACAGCTATGTATTCAGATATGGCATTCTTAAATCAGACTTAATCTTCTGATATAAACATTGCTTTTTTACACTTAATGACAAAATGCATTTTTTGTGAAAAGTTCAGACAACCTGCCAACACTGTACCATTGCCTAAAATGAAATGTTGAGTAAAATTAATTGTGAATTTAATCAACCAAATGTATGGTAGTTTTCATTTTCATTTCTGTGTGAACAGTTTCAACTTTCTCATTTAAAAAATCATACTTTCTATCATTTCAGGAACGTCGTCCTTTTCAGTCGATTCCATTTCCTCTTTGTCCTCTTCCTCCTCCTCTTCATCCTCAGACTTTTTGTCCTCATCCTCCTTTTCCTCAGGAGCTTCCTCCTGCCACTTACAGAATTTCTCCAAGACCTATCAAAATATATGATTGTATTTCTGTTTATATCTGGTTTCAACCCACAACATTGCTAGTATCACAATCTCTGTTACCAGACACAAAACACAACATTGATATGGCTTATTTCAGCCTGCAAAATTCACTGTGTTAGCCGGGAGTTAAATGTTACTTACGTCATAAAGTTTTCCTTTTCCAATTTTTCTGTTGTCATCGAGCCTCTTCTTAAGTTCAGGGTCTCTTAAAGCCGGGTCTTCCCTCAATCTAACATTAAGTAAAGGTGCATTTAATTCCCATATCTCCACTAGACTATTACATCGTTAGTGACATGTCATACTACTGTTACTGTTCTACACACTTATTGCCTGTATTGTTCACCTGAATATCACTGCAAAATATTGCTATCAAATAAAACGTTTCATACATTTCCAAATTTTGCCTCTGCCTCTTAGCATTGAGGGGACAACACCCTTCCATTATACCACATTGGTATCACTGGTCCCAAGGATGGCATATATATCAAATTTTGGTACTATCAATTGTTCAGTAGGAGTAAGCTTTTGAATACTTAAAAGTCAATATTGCCTTATTTTGGGTCAAGCCCTCATGCAAGCACTACAACCTTTCTTTAGTTTCTTTAGTTTTTAAATATGAGTCATGATTAAGGTAGTTTTTCACATCACTGGGAAAGGGGGATAAGTGAATCCTTTCCCTATTGTTACTAAAAGACGGCGGGTTGGTGGGTATAGTGTTTTTTTACCTTAATTTCATAACAGCCTATTCCTTTATAAATTGGAAAATACAGCATTATTTTTATTGAAATTGGGAACATATGCCTCATCTTTTTTGTCATTTTGGGAAAATAAGACAAAAACAATCGCTATATATACAGAGCCCTGTTTTCAGCATTAGATTAAAGTGCAGAGGGCTAGTCAAATTACACGGTACACGAAAGAAAGCTTTGTATAATATACCCCTGTTCATCTGGGAGATGCCCTGGGGATGTCTTCCTGAGGTCACGGATTCTCCGTTCCTGTAGTTTTTCCCCAATGTCTTGGAATGCCTCCCTCGCCAGTCTGTCTACAGCTGGGCCACTGTCATAATGCAATCATATTTTAAGACATATCATCCATTTTTTGTGTATCTGATATCACAAGAATAACAGATTGAGTTCATTTTTCTTTTTCTACCATGTATTATAAGAGGAATAAGAAAATCTGCTGTAATTTTCACTAACAACTATTGACATGCTCACCTCAATCCTAGCTTTTTCTGTTTGCTGGTGTCTCTGATGACTTTCTGGACATCATGGAAATCAGGAAATATCTTGTGCTTGTTAATAAATTTTTCCAACTTTCTGTTCACTTCTGGATACCTTGTACCTACAGTATATATATAAACCTTGTACCAACAGTATATATATGAACAATGTACCTATAGTATATATATAAACCTTGTACCTACAGTATATATAAACCTTGTACCTACAGTATATATAAACCTTGTACCTACAGTATATATATACCTTGTACCTACAGTATATATATAAACCGTGTACCTACAGTATATATAAACCTTGTACCTACAGTATATATATTAACAATGTACCTATAGTATATATATAAACCTTGTACCTACAGTATATATATAAACAATGTCCCTATAGTATATATATAAACCTTGTACCTACAGTATATATAAAACTTGTACCTACAGTATATATAAACCTTGTACCTAAAGTATATATATACCTTGTACCTACAGTATATATATAAACCGTGTACTTACAGTATATATAAACCTTGTACCTACAGTATATATATAAACAATGTACCTATAGTATATATATAAACCTTGTACCTACATAGTATATAAATACCTTGTACCTACAGTATATTATATATAAACCTTGTACCTACAGTATATATATAAACAATGTACCTATAGTATATATATAAACCTTGTACCTACAGTATATATAAACCTTGTACCTACAGTATATATATACCTTGTACCTACAGTATATATATAAACAATGTACCTACAGTATATATAAACCTTGTACCTACAGTATATATATAAACAATGTACCTATAGTATATATATAAACCTTGTACCTACATAGTATATAAATACCTTGTACCTACAGTATATTATATATAAACCTTGTACCTACAGTATATATATAAACAATGTACCTATAGTATATATATAAACCTTGTACCTACAGTATATATAAACCTTGTACCTACAGTATATATATACCTTGTACCTACAGTATATATATAAACCGTGTACCTACAGTATATATAAACCTTGTACCTACAGTATATATAAACCTTGTACCTACAGTATATATATACCTTGTACCTACAGTATATATAAACCTTGTACCTACAGTATATATATAAACAATGTACCTATAGTATATATATAAACCTTGTACCTACAGTATATATAAACCTTGTACCTACAGTATATATATACCTTGTACCTACAGTATATATATACCTTGTACCTACAGTATATATATACCTTGTACCTACAGTATATATATAAACCGTGTACCTACAGTATATATAAACCTTGTACCTACAGTATATATAAACCTTGTACCTACAGTATATATATAAACAATGTACCTATAGTATATATATAAACCTTGTACCTACAGTATATATATAAACAATGTACCTACAGTATATATATAAACCTTGTACCTACAGTATATATATAAACAATGTACCTATAGTATATATATAAACCTTGTACCTACAGTATATATATAAACCTTGTACCTACAGTATATATATATACCTTGTACCTACAGTATATATAATATACCTTGTATATATAAACCTTGTACCTACAGTATATATATACCTTGTACCTACAGTATATATAAACCTTGTACCTACAGTATATATATAAACCTTGTACCTACAGTATATATTTAAACCTTGTACCTACAGTATATATAAACCTTGTACCTACAGTATATATAAACCTTGTACCTACAGTATATATATATTTACCTTGTATATATAAAACTTGTACCTACAGTATATATATACCTTGTACCTACAGTATATATAAACCTTGTACCTACAATATATATATATACCTTGTACCTACAGTATATATATAAACCTTGTACCTACAGTATATATATAAACCTTGTACCTACAGTATATATATACCTTGTTTATATAAACCATGTACCTTCAGTAAATATGAACCTTGTACCTCATTTTACCAAGTCTGATAAAACATTATGTTTTTATTTTCCTAATATCAAAACAGGTATATGTTCCCAAAACTCCTACTCAATTCCTATTCCCTTAAAATTTGGAACATACCCTTGTAGAAGAAGCGTCTCTCCACTGGGCGACCTGTATTGGACTCTGCACCCTTCAGCTCACACAGCTTCTTCCACACCTTGACAAACTTGTGTTGATAGCGGTCCTCCTGTATGTAGGCTGAATCTTCTTCTCCTAGAGCATCCAATGACAGATCTGCGTTCTTCAGCTCTTCTATCTTGTTACGAATGTCCTGTTAAACACAAATTGAACCTCTGAGTTTAGCTCATTTATTTTTTAATTTAATCAACTTCTGATATGCAATCAATTATTTCATGGTTTCTCATTTTTAAAGTTTCATTATTGTATGTTTGGGATATAAATTAAAAGATACATTTTACATAACTTTTTAGATAATTTGAATCCGCTGACTGATCATGCCTTAATACACTGTACATAAACCTTGTAATGTACCACTAACCTCCAGTAACTTTTCTAGCCGACGTATCTGTCGCTGGGACCCCTTTGAGACGGGCACTGCTGTATCTGTGGAGGACTGCTGTGCCAGTGCTGACTCGGACTGAGTGCCTTTATCACTCTCAGTGGGATCAGTTTCCTCCTCGTCTACTTGTTGAGCTTCTGAGAATTTTTTGCTGGTTTCCGTACATTCTGCTCCCTGATTTTTAATTTGTTTAGCTTCAACACGTATTTTTCCCTTTGCCATATCTTCTCCTACAGATTCAGAGATCTCATTCGTACTTGTCTCATTTGTAAGTTCCACACAAATTTCTTCTTTACCGTTTTCTTTCTCTGCGTCTTTTAATTTTAAAGAATTTTTATTTTTGTTATTATCAGGGTCTTCAACTGTCAAGATTTTTGGGCTAACAATCGGAATGTTTTGCTTTTGTAATTCGTTTAAATCATTGATATCTTTTTCTTCAGTACGTTTTTTTAATCCTAAATCATCTTCATCATCATCGTCGTCATCATCATCAATGGTGATGCAATCATTCTCCAGGACAGTAGCAGATATTTTAGGGGAGGTAACAAAATCTCCATTTCCATCTGAATTTCCTTTTAACTTGTCTACATCTTCCATCTCCTCCTGTGTATCGTCCACATTTTCTACCACCATACATATATCTCCATCTATGTCTAGAGTGAGCGATACTTGGTTCACAAAATTCTTCGTGTCAGACGTTTCCTGATTTGCCTCCTGGTCCATTGGTCTCCCATTCACTAAAGGTCCTGGTTTACTAGGACTCCCTCCAGTTTTGGTCCCAGTTGCCTCAACAGTCTTGTTAGGATGCTGTACATTTAACACATCATTTTCGATGACTGCCTCAACAGTCTTGTTAGGATGTTGTAACACATCATTTTCGATGACTGCCTCAACAGTCTTGTTAGGATGTTGTAACACATCATTTTCGATGACTGCCTCAACATTCTTGTTAGGATGTTGAAGGACATCTTTTTCTTTCTCACAAAGTTTATCGAGAAGTGTTGTATTTTGTGTCTGATGTTTCAGAGATAGCTTATTCAATCTGTTCGGTTTTTGAAGGACCTTGTTTTCACAGAGTAGTGAATTGTTTTCTGCCTCGCTGCAGTCTGTATCTTGGTCAGTGGAATTGTCTCGTAAAGATTTCGGACTTGGTGCCTCTGATACATCAGAACCACTTTCTCGACGTTTACGCTTCTTGTCCACATTTTTTTCTGCCTTATTTGTTTTCAATTCATTTAAGAAATCTCTGAGATGAACAAATACTCTACTATTGTCACTGTCAATCTTTGCTTGTGTAATTTGTAAAAATTCCTGAAATTTACTTGAAGTTCTGTATGACTTGGAACACTCTTCATATCGCTTTTGTATCAAAATCGACAGATCTGGTGTCTTTTTTATGAAGTCTTGAATATCATTCAAAAACTGCAAAGCACAACAAACAAACAGGTTAATCATCACAGAGAGAAGACATAATTTTGAACTATCACTGCACAGCCATACCTTGAATATTTTATTTTCCATAACTATTAATAAGCTGAATGTGAAAGCCCTCCAGTCACCTAAAAGGGCAATTTGAATCAAGAGAAATTGACCTATATAATATATATATGTAAACCAGAATGTCTTAATAAAATCTAGAGATACAAGTGATTTTTTTTGTATGTTACATTAACATTAAAAGAGGTTTTCATATATTGTTATTTAAATCCACTTTGCATGTCTGTTAATTAAACATAACCTATGAATATTAAAATTTCAAAAGCCTGACATTTTTACTAAAAACAACCAAAAAAACAGCCCTTGTATCAAATAGTTGAAGCAAAAACGATTCACTTTTATTGCACCCTAAATTACATTGTGATGATCGGGAAATTATTTGATGATAGAGGTTTGAACTACACATTAAATATCAACTATTAACATCCATGGCTATTGAGTAATTCAAATTGAATTCAGTTGAATGATCCAAAATACTTACTGCATTGAAGGCTGCTTCAGTCATCTTTTCTGCCACAATAACATTTCCTAATGTAGCTGTTTTCCTTTCAAATTCTGAAATAAAATTAAATAGTTTCAGTACAAAAGGAAATAGTACCTGCCAAATTCTTAGCAATGACATGAAGATCACAAATTGTTAACAAACAAGTCTTCTCTGTTAATTGCACGTCATTTCAGTATGTAAACTTTTCCAAATTAAGCTGTAATGGCTGTTAAAGGCTATAATCATATTCATTGTATACACTAGTGTTGTCTTAGGAGTATCTAACATCTCCAATGCTGAGCTACATGTATGCAGCGCAAACATGGGTGCTTAAAAACTACAAAAAGCTATGCAATTTATTGAGGTCATCTGCAGGTTGACCTGCAAAAATGCAGTCGACATCGCTGGAATGAAAAAACAACATAAATGAAAGGTTCTTCCCCTGGGGCTTTATTTATAAACAAGGTAATGAAAGTAGTTTATTTATATGCATATTTTGATTTAAATATTACAGAAACCATGATTGTATAGGACACATTACCATGATGTAACATTTATTGTTCTAATCAATTAATTTTTGTAATATATTAATGTATTTTATAATATTGTAGCAAAACTGGACTAGACGGATGAACCATCACCGACAACAAAGTATAGCAAGGTTTTCAGTATCTGTCTAGTTTGGAGATCCTGGGTTCAAATCTCAGTCTGGCCATGTAATGTTCCTCTCCCATGATAATGTTACCAACCCTTGTTTCAAGTACATATTGTATGCTTGGCAATCAGATAATTGAACATTGGTAGTAAATACTATTGTCTTTGAGGATGAAGATTTAGAAAAGAGAGAGAGAATCGAACAGGTTGATGCTTCTGCAATATGTGGCAGTTTCGCATGTGACAGGACTGACACATTTAAAATAAGTTTTGTAGGTTAAAAACAGGATAAAAGAAGCTTTAAGGGTTTCAGAGCTTCGTCACCCTGGCCTTGAAGGCCGAGAGTGTGGCTGCATCTGTGATGTCTGGTGGTAGGGCGTTCCGGTCACGTACAGTTCTGGGAAAGAAAGACATCTTTCATGAATCAGTCCTGCAGGTAATGAGTTGGAAGGATCTGGTGTTGGTGTGTCTGGCAAGTCGTCTTGGTGGTACGTCACCGTAGCAATCTGTTTCTTTACTGATGGCAACCATACCTCTGCCAATCTTGTATAACATCACTAGTCTAGCTTCCTTCCTCCTTTCTTGTAGTGGTTTCCACCCGAGCATATGAAGCATATCAGAGACGCTGGGCACGTTACGATGACGATATATATCCTGCGATATATTATACTGTGATATAACGAATTCCAAAGAAAGCATTCCCAATCGTAACTATTCAGGTCAGACAATGGTAGTTTCCAATATTTATACGAACAGTTGATATCCTGATGTGTTCATATTAGGGACTGAACAGAAAGCTGACAGAACATTGTCATCTGAAAATTTATACGTTGTACAAGATAAATGGTAACTCAACGTAGAAGACTTATTTGATACGTTATGCAGGTATGAAAATATTTCTTACTGAATTTCCTAGATCTCAAATATCGCCATACACATACCAATTCCAGTTTTAGTTGAGATAATAGTATGCTACATATGTACTTCTTTAGTTGGCTTGGCGGTGAAACGTACAGGAAGTTGGTAGAGTCGGTAAAAAAATGTACGAAATTTATTTTAAAACGAATATATTTTTTATATTATCTCATTTGTAAAAACAAAATCAAGCTCATTTTTTAACGTTTTCATATAAAATATGAGAGTGTTTTATTATTAAAAAATAACACAAGTTTAACTGCTTTTGCATGTTTAAATGTTCCGTTTCATTCTTATGGTTGTTACAATATTCGTAAAAATGGCGGCCGCCATCGAGAGCACAGGACGATCGTCGTCAGAGGTTTGCATTTTGTCTTCATGATGATTACACAATCAGTCATTGGTTTTAACATCGTTATTTAAAACATAGTTATATTTCATTAGTTCCAACAAAGTAACAATTGACACACAAATAGTGACAGTAAAATCACATTCATTCCAATGCAGTTTAGGCCTACATGAGCAACAGAGTTACGTCCCCGTCGCCTTGCAATTGGGCCCGGGCTACAGTAATTCTACTATGTGTTAATATGAAAAAGGCGAGACCTAAACAGCGGGCACACAAACACATGAAATAACTGTTTCCTACATAATTTAACAGTTACATTTTATGTTCTGTCAGTAGAGTGAACATCCAGTCCTCACATAATTTAATGGATGTATCATCATCATCATCTTCCATGAAGTGACAGATCTCCTTGATGGAGTGCAATTGTGACTGTGAGAGGTTCCTAGAGGTGGCAGTTAAAAACTTTTTTATGGTATTTTCGTATATGATAAAACTATTTACAAAAAGTATACATGAAGTTAGTATAGAGGAAAAGGGTTGAAGCCTGCAATTGGTGATTTAAATTAATTTAGATCAGGCGATTGGGCGATGTCTGTGGGTATAGAGTTCCAGGTGATGATAGTACGTGGAAAAAATGAATATTTGTATTGATTTGATGCGGTTGTGATCTGATGAAATTTGTGAGCGCAGGCCCTTTGTTCTCCTGTCCCCTTGAGTAAGGTACTCGGCTGTTGATAGAATAGCGATGTGCCCGTTAACGATCTTGTACATCATGGTTAGCCTGGATTTTGCTCTACTTTGTGCTAAAGATTCTCAATTTAGTGATTGGATCATGGTTGTCACACAGCCGGGATCTCTAGACCTGTAGTCGTTGTGTACATATCGAGCAGCTCGACGTTGGACTGACTCTAGCTGCAATAACGTAGTTTACTGACGACGGGAGATTTTTTTTATATATATTGCGTCGTCAGAGCTTCAAGGCGGTCCTATGCCAACTCAAGGAGCAAAAACATAAGCGTTAATCTGTAAGTAAGAAATCATATAATTCAAGTGATTCATTGTGCAACGTATAGTTGTTCTTAATGGGCACTTTGTTTTTTGTGACATTTATAATGCAGCATTTACTGGCATTGAAGTTCATTTGCCATTTGTCCTCCCATGCCTGTAGATTGTCAAGATCGGTTTGTAGAGCCTTGCAGTCATCAGGTGTTTTGATGTCTGTGTAGAGGAGACAGTCATCTGCAAATAGCTTGATCTTACATTCACTGAATCTACGATGTCATTAATATAGACTAGAAATAACAGAGGACCAATCACTGTCCCCTGGGGCACCCTAGATAGTACAGGGGCCGTCTCGGACTTAACACCATTTAGTAAAACAAGCTGATCATGAGATTGTAAAAATGATCTTATCCAGGAGAGGGTGTTGTTTCTTATACCATTAGAGTTAAGCTTGGTCAGGAGTCGTTCAAGGGTGACTTTATCAAACACTTTAGAAGTCTAGTCATCAGTTTCCTCGCGTTATGTATTTTCATGCAGCCATTTTATCAAGCTATATCTCGTAACTACGTGATCTGCTGGACACAACACAAGGATATTTTAGACGTTTGGTCATCGTCTGTAAACTGACACGAAAATTACCGGAAGTTCGTCCAGAAAACATTAGAATTAATCACTGATTAAAAAAACCACCCATAAATATGCAGTTTTGCTAAATCATCAGTAAATGCACTTTTTATCTTGCTCAAAATGAACCCATACCTGAAAAAACTGTGATATATTTCATTCATGAACCAGTCTTTTTTGTAGTCTGACAACCGTGCCAAAATGTCGTATGCAAATCTCGCTGATATAAAATAACAGATTCTATATACCGTAAAAACCCATGTAATTTGCGCACCTGTGTAATTTGCGCAGGCACTTTTTGAGGCTGAAAATCGGGGAAAAAGCCTCTACTCGAATATTTTGCGCACCCAAAAATTCAGAAAAAAAAGATGTTCATGCTCCGAAAATCGATCTCTGAAATATTTTTTTAAAATATATTTCTGATGTTTATTTTTTCATTGATGTAAAATGATATTAAAAACCAAGAAGAAACTACGTAAAATGTTTATTTTGTTGTTTGTTTTCTTTGAATTATCTAATTACACATACCACACACGTGTGCACAAATCGGCATATTCATCAATTAATTTTAGCTACATTTTACATAAAACGTTTACTACGCTTACAAAAACATACCAATTAATTAGTGTTAATGTGTTGTAACAGCTGGTGCATATATCCTGATGAATGACATACATTAACACCTTTTAATTAATGAACTTGGACTGTGTTGGACTAGAAAATTATTAGTGAATTATGGATTGTGTGTGCCAAAACGTAAGTGTTAAAGTGAAATTGTATATCATTTTAAGAATAATTTTCTCACATAAACTCAGATAACAACACATTATGTATTTACTGTATTTTTTATTAATGTTTGACATTGAATAAATTTGTTGATCGTCATTTGTCTTAGAGTTCCGTGTGCCAAGGGAGATAATCCAAAATGGCGGTCTCCCAGAATCGTCGATCTTTTCCTGAAAAAAACTTGAAATTTTCTACACCTGTGTATTTTACGCACCCCCCACTTTGGGTATTAGAATTCTGAAAAAAAAGTGCGCAAATTACATGGGTTTTTACGGTATATACAATTGGTGCCAAACTAAGGGCATCCTTGTTTTACAGAATGTGACAGGTTAAAGAAATTGGACATATGACCATTTGTTAGAATACAGCTTTTGGAATATTTGTAGGTCATGTTAATGTACTCTATCATTGTTTTTCCAAAATTAAATTTCCTTAAACTGTTCTCTAGCCAGCTCCATTCTACTCTATCAAACGCTTTCTGTTGATCTAGAAAAAATTGTATTCTTCCCTTCTTTTCTATATCAGTATATTCAATAATATCGGACAGCAATCGTATAGATTCCTCAATATTTCTACCTTTATTAAAGCCTCTTTGGTCGCTATGAATGACATTTGGTAATATAGGTTTAATTCACTCTGCAATTGTCTTAGCTATGATTTTATAGTCTGTATTAAGTAGTGTGATTGGTCTCCAATTGGCTATATCCTCCCTCTCCCCTTGTTTGTACATGAGTCTAATTATCCCTGTATACTGTGACGATGATAGTTTTTTGGTAATTTATATTTCTTTAATTACCTGTGTAAATTCCTTTTTGATGCTATGCCAATAAAGTTGATAGAATTCTGAGACAATTCCATCACTACCTGGAGTTTTATTGTTTTTCAGAGTTTTTATAACTTTTTGAATTTCTTCTTCGGTCAGAATTTTATCACCATTTTTTTTTCTCCATCTCTGTTAATTTGGTGTCTATATTCATTAAAAGTTTTGCTGCCTCTCGTTCATCCAAACCCTCAGATGAGAAAAAAATTTGGTAAAATGTTACTTGTTCTTCTAAGGTGGTATCTATATCCGAACTATACTGTCCATTTTCACATTTAATTGATGACCATTGTTTATTTTGTGCTCTCAATTTTTCTAAATTGATACTATTTAATTGTTACTGAGATCAATCTAAAGGTATATTTGTAAGATTGATAACAAAATCACAAGAAGCTGTAATATATATTTTTTCTATCAGAACATTCTGACTGAAGTGAGGAAGTTTCTAAGAGGTGCCAGTAATGAACGTCCCATGGGAAGAGAGAGTCACACCAAATCGGCTCTATACCTACTGCAAACCCTGCCCACCGCCAGATTCGCGGTGTTGGAGCATCTCTGCAGCGTGTTTGATGAAGCAGTCAGTGAACATTTAATGCAGCTCATGTTGAATAACTCAGAAAACCCAGTAGGTAAGAGCATGCATTTCTTAAGGAGACAAATAAGGAAACTTCATTTTTACAAATGCACAAATTTTGCACAAATATAAGAATGCTTGTGACATAACTTTTATTAATATTTGATACATTGTTTCAGTACATTGGATTTTCTTTTAGATGAGAATCGCGGTCATTTGGATGGTGTGATACAAGATGCCTGTGGAGTTTTGTTCAACTTCATCAAGACCGGTCCCCAGGCCTGGGCTCCCATTATCTCTAGTGTGAGTTTAAATCAAAGGCCATTTCAGTCACCCCAAGTCCCTGTCTTGATTCTGTTAGCTCAGTCTCAAGTAGATATCTTAAATCAGTCATCCCAAGTCGGGTTCCAGAAGATGTTTCCTGTCAGGTCATGATCAGTCCTCGCCAGATAATGTCTCCTGTCATGTCAGTCCTCCCAAGATAATGTCTCCTGTCATGTCAGTCCTCCCAAATCCCTGCTCCGTTTCTTCTGTCTGTCCTCCCACACCCCAAGCACCTGTCCATACTCCTAAATCCCTGTCCCATATCAATCCTCCTACATCCCTGTCCTCCAAAATCCCTATTTCCTGCCAGTCCTCCCACATCCTTGTGTCCTGTCAGTCTTCCCACATCCCTGTCTCCTGTCAGTCCTCCCCCATCCCTGTGTCCTGTCAGTCCCCAACATCCCTGTCTCCTGTCAGTCCTCCCTCATCCCTGTGTCCTGTCAGTCCCCAACATCCCCTGTCCCATATCAATCCTCCTACATCCCTGCCCTCCAAAATCCCTATTTCCTGCCAGTCCTCCCACATCCTTGTGTCCTGTCAGTCTTCCCACATCCCTGTCTCCTGTCAGTCCTCCCACCTCCCTGTTTTCTGTCAGTCCTCCTACATCCCCGTCTCCTGTCAGTCCTCCCACATCCCTATGTCCTGTCAGTCCCCAACATCCCTGTCTCCTGTCAGTCCTCCCACATCCCTGTTTTCTGTCAGTCCTCCTACATACCCGTCTCCTGTCAGTCCTCCAACATCCCTGTCTCCTGTCAGTCCTCCTGCATCCCTGTGTCCTGTCAGTCCTCCCACATCCCCATGTCCTGTCAGTCCCCAACATCCCTGTCTCCTGTCAGTCCTCCCTCATATCTGTCTCCTGTCAGTCACCACATCCCTGTGTCCTGTCAGTCCTCCTACATCCCTATGTCCTGTCAGTCCCCAACATCCCTGTCTCCTGTCAGTCCTCCCACATATCTGTCTCCTGTCAGTCACCACATTACTGTCTCCTGTCAGTCCTCCCACATTCCTGTCTCCTGTCAGTCCCCACATTCCTATCTCCTGTCAGTCCTCCCACATATCTGTCTCATGTCAGTCACCACATTACTGTCTCCTGTCAGTCCTCCCCCATTCCTGTCTCCTGTCAGTCCTCCTACATCCCTTTGTCCTGTCAGTCCCCAACATCCCTGTGTCCTGTCAGTCCTCCTACATCCCTGTCTCCTGTCAGTCCCCAACATCCCTGTGTTGTCAGTCCTCCTACATCCCTTTGTCCTGTCAGTCCCCAACATCCCTGTCTCCTGTCAGTCCCCAACATCCCTGTCTCCTGTCAGTCCTCCCACATTCCTGTCTCCTGTCGGTCCTCCCACATTCCTGTCTCCTGTCAGTCCCCAACATCCCTGTGTCCTGTCAGTCCTCCTACATCCCTATGTCCTGTCAGTCCCCAACATCCCTGTGTCGTCAGTCCTCCTACATCCCTGTCTTCTGTCAGTTCTCCCACATCCCTGTCTCCTGTCAGTCCTCCCACATCCTTGTGTCCTGTCAGTCTTCCCACATCCCTGTCTCCTGTCAGTCCTCCCACATTCCTGTCTCCAGTCAGTTCTCCCACATCCCTGTCTCCTGTCAGTCCTCCCACATCCTTGTGTCCTGTCAGTCTTCCCACATCCCTGTCTCCTGTCAGTCCTCCCACATCCCTGTGTCCTGTCAGTCCTCCCACATTTCTGTGTCCTGTTAGTCCTCCCACATTCCTGTCTCCTGTCGGTCCTCCCACATCCCTGTCTCCTGTCAGTCCTCCCACATCCCTGTGTCCTGTCAGTCCTCCCACATCCCTGTGTCCTGTCAGTCCCCAACATCCCTGTCTCCTGTCAGTCGTCCCACATCCCTGTTTCCTGTCAGTCCTCCTACATACCCGTCTCCTGTCAGTCTTCCAACATCCCTGTCTCCTGTCAGTCCTCCCATATCCCTGTCTCCTGTCAGTCCTCCTACATCCCTGTGTCCTGTCAGTCCTCCCACATCCCTGTGTCCTGTCAGTCCTCCCACATTCCTGTGTCCTGTCGGTCCTCCCACATCCCTGTCTCCTGTCAGTCCTCCCACATCCCTGTCTCCTGTCAGTCCTTTCAATTCCCTGTCAATCAGACCTAGTCATTGTTTGATGTTTAGTCAATGGATAAGATCTGAGAAACCTGTTCTATGACAGTGCTGGTTTTATGTGTTATACAGTGGTCACTGGAGCTGCTTGGTCAGATCAGTCAGAAGTATGCAAGTCACCGAGTGGTGCCCCACGCTAACTCACTCAACGAACTTCTACAGCTGTGGATGACCTGTACTCCCACCAAGTCACTTATGGAGGTGGCAACTGAGTGTTTTGCAGCTATGTAAGTGTCCTGATATATGGTTAGAACATATATGTCATTAAGGTACCGGTAATACAGTCATGATGGTTTTCTGTTCATAATTACAATATACAGACAAATTAACAATAACAGTCAAATGATTAAGTTGCGATTTCGGGATAAAACTAGTTAATGTCAGTTGCATCACTTATGTATGCATTTGTGTTGCCTTATATTTACCGTTTGGTGACAGTTACTGCCACAACAAAACATTTCTCCCACAACCATTATTTTTGGCTACCTTGACAAAGTGTCTTATTTTAACTAAGCAAACTACTCATTGACTATTAATGAAAAAGGGAAAAGACAGATAGAGTATAGCTCAATGGTTGTTTGTGTGACAGGTACAGGGTGCCTTAGACTTAACATAAGTAGATAGAAATAGAGTATAGCTCAATGGTTGTTTGTGTGACAGGTACAGGGTGCCTTAGACTTAACATAGGTAGATAGAAATAGAGTATAGCTCAATGGTTGTTTGTGTGACAGGTACAGGGTGCCTTAGACTTAACATAGGTAGATAGAAATAGAGTATAGCTCAATGGTTGTTTGTGTGACAGGTACAGGGTGCCTTAGACTTAACATAGGTAGATAGAAATAGAGTATAGCTCAATGGTTGTTTGTGTGACAGGTACAGGGTGCCTTAGACTTAACATAGGTAGATAGAAATAGAGTATAGCTCAATGGTTGTTTGTGTGACAGGTACAGGGTGCCTTAGACTTAACATAGGTAGATAGAAATAGAGTATAGCTCAATGGTTGTTTGTGTGACAGGTACAGGGTGCCTTAGACTTAACATAGGTAGATAGAAATAGAGTATAGCTCAATGGTTGTTTGTGTGACAGGTACAGGGTGCCTTAGACTTAACATAGGTAGATAGAAATAGAGTATAGCTCAATGGTTGTTTGTGTGACAGGTACAGGGTGCCTTAGACTTAACATAGGTAGATAGAAATAGAGTATAGCTCAATGGTTGTTTGTGTGACAGGTACAGGGTGCCTTAGACTTAACATAGGTAGATAGAAATAGAGTATAGCTCAATGGTTGTTTGTGTGACAGGTACAGGGTGCCTTAGACTTAACATAGGTAGATAGAAATAGAGTATAGCTCAATGGTTGTTTGTGTGACAGGATACAGGGTGCCCCAGACACCTGTGTGGATGCCCTGCTTGAAGCCTCAGTGAAGTACAGTCCACACTTTGACTGGGTGGTTGCTCACATAGGGTAAGTACATGTAACCAAGGTAATGTGAAACTTATATAGTCAATCTTCATGTAGATACATATTGCAACCTTTTGATTTGATTGATTTCAAAGCAATTATATGTCCTCTGAAATTGTAGATTTATGATAACTGTATGAAGTGAAATAAAGTAAATATATTTTAATTTGCTTTTGTTAAAAATAATAACTGATATCTAGAAAACTGAATTCATGATAATTAACTGGTAATTAGAGTGTTTACAGGTTGTGCTTCCCCAACATAACCATATGTTTATGTTTGCAGCTCGTGTTTCCCTGATACAATTATAACCCGAGTGCTGATGTGTGGCCTCAAGGACTTCTGTCACAATGGTGGTAGGTCAGCTGACATGGAAATGATGTCCGAGGAAAGGATACCTAAGATGGCGTCTGTTGTAGGAATTCTTGGGCATCTGGCTTCCAAACACAGCCAAGAAATACGTCAGGCCTTGATGAAACTGTTTGAGGTAAGAAAACATTCAGAAATAGCAAAATTTTAATTTATTTCTGAAGGAATTGTTTCATATCCTTATTATTCAGTACAAAACAATAATTCTTTTCACACTATTTAGTGTAGAAAGCAGTCACCAATATGCTGAACCTGAGTTTTCTTACACATTGTAACATCATCATGAAGAATGTTTTTAAAATGTAGAACTATGCATATGTTTGCTAAGAAACAATGAAATCAGAATATCAAAATGAAATCCATGTGCCTTGTTTACATTGCAGGACAGTCTAAACACCAACAGTGATACCCTGAAGGTTACTACTGTACCATTCCTCCTTCAGCTGGCCTCCATGTCACCCATGCTGCTCCAAATCCTTACTACTGACCTCATACAGGCCTGTGAGTCATAGCTGTCAACCCTCCCTCATTAGGGGGGACACTCCCTCATTTTGACAAATATTTACCAAACTCAAAATCTGCATTCTGTGGTCAAATAATCTCCTACTTATTGCAAGGTGTTTATAATGATCATAACAGGTGAGCCTGAATCAAGTGTTTATCATACGCCCGTCATCCGACGGTTCATTTATTGGTATGGGATGCGTTGTCCATCCGTTAACATTTTCCCTTGTCAATGATCACCTGCCTTCATTCATGAACATTACTTGATGAAACTTGGTACACAAATTGCATACCAATATAGCCTGAATGAGTTTGCATTTCAGAAGTTTCGGTGCATTGTTAGATCACCTGAGCTTTGCTCAATTGGCCTATTCCGATCACTTTCCATCCCTCATCGTGTGTAAACTTTTTACATTTTCAACTTCTCAAGAACCAGTGGATGGAATTTGTTCAAACTTGGTCAGAATCATCCTTGGTAGATGAGGCTACAAAATTGTAAAATTGGGATTCCTACCCCAACCCCTGAGGCCAGGGTGGGGCCCCAAATGGAAATTTAACCCCCGAGCTATCCGTTCTCCCTTGACAATTTTCTGTCGCAAATTATTCTTGCTTGGTGAGAATTATCCTTGGAGGAAGATGGTTTTAAAACGTTAAATGGGGATTCCTACCCCAACCCCTGGGGGCCAGGGTGGGCCCCAAAGGGAAAATTTACCAATGTTTCAAACATTTTCTTTTCCAGACTCAGAGGTACTACAGTCAATTTCAGTGCATGGATGGAAAGATCATCAGAAGCTTTATTGAAATTGTCAATTTCCGGACCTCTGAGCCATCCTTTACTATAGTTTATATAGGGAAATACCACTTTTGGGTATATTTTATCCATTTTCAGCAGAAAATTATTCAAACTTGTTTAGAATCATTTTTGGTGGATTAGGGTATTACATTGTAAAATTGGAATTCCTGCCCTATCCCCAGGGGCTAGGGCGGGGCCCTAAGGGCAACATTTACCAATATCTTAAAACTCTTATCCTTTGATGCCATGACAAGTATTGTATTTCCCTAAGATTACATGCTGATTTCCACATCACATCTGAACAATAAAATAAAGCTACCAGTACCTATGATATAACTCAGGTGACCGCTAAGGCCCTTGGGCCTCTTGTTGGTGGAGTTACGCCCTTTTATTTCCAAATAAGGCCATTGTGCCACGAGTTTTTTGGTGGAGTTTAAACTTTCCGCGTTTTGGCATATCACACTTGACATAGCAACACTGTACTTCATTTTAACGTTAACTTTTCCTTGTTTACACGATAACTCAAACAATTGTTCGCCAATTTTCATTAAACTACTTGGTTGCTTATTACCTGAATGCTTTGAAAGAGTTCTTAAATCGTGACATTTAAACCCTATTCAGCAGAGTTATGCCCCTTTTCCATTGCCAAATAAGGGCATTCCGTTGAAAATGCAAAAACTTTTTAACTATTTGTTTAATTCCTTTCAAATTTAGTATAGTAATACAAAAACCAAACATGTTTAACATTTATAACAGGTTTTGTTGTAGCGTTCCAACTTCTCATACCAAGACTTCTACCTCACAGCCAAGGTTCTAGTTTTAGTAATAGCAACATTGACCACGAAAATGTAACTGAAACATTAAATAGCCTGCACCATAAACACAGTAAATGTCGAATTAGGGAAATCCCTCATTAGAGGTCCATAGGTTGACACTTAGGGGAAGTGTGTATTTACTATTGACCTCATACAGGTCTGTAAATGTGTATTAACTATTCACTTCATACACATCTGAAAGTCTGTTTTCATTTCTACTTACCTGGGGTATACAGGAAGCAAATTGATTATTTATGTTGAAATACACTTTTTACCATCACAGTATAAGGGGAACAGTTTTTCAGTATCAACATTAATTTTTGGTGTTTTCAGTGACTCCTAGTGTCCTTAACAAGCTCAGCAGTCAGTTTGCTAATTGGAAAGGATCAAGTTCTCATGAATATGAAAGGTATGTGTCCTTTAGTTTTTGAGTGATAGTTTTATAGTGACACTGTTGTGTTTATATGGTCTTAAGTGACAATCCTGTATGTGAGCTGTCTCTTCTATAGTGTTGTTTGTTTTACTATAGTGGTTGTATTTTGACAGTTTCCTGACCCTTGTGATCCACCTAATCACCATGATAGATGTTGGGTCCTACCAGGTCCTCCAGTTCTTTCTCAACATGGCCGAGCCTCGCGGTAAGTTAAAGAACACACATACAGCAAAATAGCATACCTCGACTCATAAGGTTTCAGCGTGAGCTGTGGATTGTGTAATTGTAAACTACATGTGTCCTGTACTTGTAATAGGTTATGTGACAGCTATCATGTCAATCAATACATATAGGATTACCTGTAACAAATGCCACATCTGTCAATGTAACAACACAAAGGATCTATTGGCCTAGTTATAAACTATATAGGCTGTTTATGGAAAGTGGAAAAATTTAATATTTGAACTTAAAATCAGCAGCACAAGGGTTTCTTTGACAAATCACATTGTTTTTGAAGGGAATTGTTATTCAGGTTCTTGACTACATGAGTGATTTTCTGTCCCCAGAGAAACCTGGAGTGGAGGCGCCAAACACAGAGGTGCAGCAGACGTGTGCTGTACTGCTGGTAGGTATTTATATCTGAAATAGCAGCTGGGGAGGATGATTAGGGGTGAGGGTGAGAAGGAATTATTCAGAGCAATACAGATACTGGTTAAAGGGAGTAATTTGGGCAGGGAGATGTTAGTGGAGAGGAATATTTGTAGGGATAGAGGAGTAGCTGTTTCTGTTAGAAAGGAAAAGTCAGTTGTGGGAAGAAAATCTGTTAGGAAAGTCAGTTGGTGGGAAGAAAATCTGTTAGAAAGGAAAAGTCAGTTGGTGGGAAGAAAAACCTTTAGGCAATGTTTTAAGTTGTAAGAACACATTTAAACTTCAAGACAAGAGAGATTTTCCAAGGTTACTGTATATTTTGCCTTGCAGAATCGTTTGGTGACAGAACTCCAGAGAGCTGTATTTCATCGTCATAGAGATGGCAAGAGTGATGTCCCTTTGCTAGCCTCTCTAACTCCCCAGGCTATCCTCATCACAGAAATGTTACTGAACAGTCAGGGACAGAAGTAAGTGTATCCAAGTATAGTTCCTCTTCCTCTTGGAAAAACCCCAATGCAAATGTTTTCAAAAATGATGTATGTTGTCAAAATCTTCAGAAATGAAAAGCCATAGATGCATACCTATTTTATGGTTTATATGAGATAGTAAATCATGAGTACAAAGAAATAAGATATTGAAGGAATACAGATGTTTTGTTAACAGCCTCTATGTAAGTGTTAACAGATCAAACAAAATGAGTACATATGTATATATATCTAAGGAGAAAGTGATTTATTTGGCTTAGATAAATCTAGAAATGCAAGAATTGCACAGTTCAGTTTGAAATTGTTGATTTGTTTAAATTGGAATTCCTATGTTGTCTGTAGGGCTGAATGTCTGGTGAAGCTGTTGTCCTTTGTCGGTCTGTATAATGGCGAGGACTGCACTGCTGAGATCCTCGCCTACATCATCACAGAGTCCAAGGAATGGCACCAGGTATGTAAATGTCAATGTGTACAGCCTTTCTCTTGCTTTAGAAATGGGAATCTCACTGAAACTTTCTGTGAACACTATATAGTGTGTTGTGTATAAATTCTCTGAACTTAAATCAAGGCCAATTTGTCAGTAAGATGTTTCAGGGTAAGAGTCACAATTAAAAGTCAAATTACTTTTTCTGTGGTGGGTGTGTTTTGTATCATGTTGTGTAATTATGGTACTTGGTACAGCTGAAGCGGTTCCTGGAGCTACAGTTGGTGAAGGAGGTGAGACTGGGGGACATCCTAGGTCGTACCACCTGTAAACTGATGGCCTACCTCCAGCCTCCCATTGTCTACTGTCCTCAACGCCTCCTAAAGAATGTCCTCATCCTACTACAGCGGGAGAGTAAAACTGAGAACAACTCCGTTATAAGGTAGGTTGTGGGGTATTCTGTATCATAAGGTAGGTTGGGGGGTATTCTGTATCATAAGGTAGGTTGGGGGTGTATTCTGTATCATAAGGTAGGTTGTGGGGTATTCTGTATCATAAGGTAGGTTGTGGGTGTATTCTGTATCATAAGGTAGGTTGGGGGGTATTCTGTATCATAAGGTAGGTTGGGGGTGTATTCTGTATCATAAGGTAGGTTGTGGGGTATTCTGTATCATAAGGTAGGTTGTGGGTGTATTCTGTATCATAAGGTAGGTTGTGGGGTATTATGTATCATTAGGTAGGTTGTGGGGTATTCTGTATCATAAGGTAGGTTGTGGGGT